GGAAAGACTTATGAAAAGTCAATGGTATTTGGTTTGCAGTTGTATTATCATTGGCACATCTCATTTCCATGGAGATTGTTTAGCCCTGTACAATGTACCTTCAGTCATGGTTCATTGACTTTGAATATTTGCATAACTTACATGTTAAAGTATTGCTATTTTAATTTCAACATTTGCATTATCAAAATAACAAATAGGCGAGACATATCTCTGTGTAAACAGTTTATTTAAACAAAAGTATGTTTTGAATGGCTTACAATTGTGTTTAATAACAGTAAATAAAGCAAGAACCCTTCAAAAAATATTAATAATCAATTGATGTTAAAGCAAGTTTAAATATCTAGTTTCACTGTCTTTCATTGCCAAGATCATAATAAAAAAATATGTTCTTTAAATTATTTTTGATATGAACAAAAAAAAAACCTTTATGTCACTTGTTGAAAATGTATAGTAAAACTCTGTTAATTTCAAATCTTGTGCGATTGTTTGCAGTATTTTCATGGAGAATGCAGTTTTCCAGCATCAAGTAGATGTTGGAAATGCATATAAATGATTCTAGAACACTTCACGAGTGTTGAAATGTGACAAAATCACAAAAAGTAACATCGAAGAGGTTGTATTTGTCATTACAAGAAATCGAATAAGAATGTGTAAATCGTAAACAATTCGGTGCAAGACGCGGTGGAAATTCATACTTAATAGTTTAATAGTTTACAAAAACTTACGACTTTGGAAGTAAAATAGTGCCGTCCTTTAGCGAATTAATGTTATAGTATCCATCAAAATATTGTTTAAAGGACCTTTAGCGGAAACAAAGCACATACAGCAGTCTATAACACCAAATCCTGAACGAAAAACTGACTACGTTTTTTAGTTTATACATGGTTGTGCTGGTTCCCGGCAGACTACTTAACTTGTACGAAGATAAAATACAAGCGGATTCCAGTTTACATTATGCAACATTTGAAAAGAAATGAGATGATGCATCAAATTTTGATATCTATCAGTGAATATAAGATATCAAAATTAAAATTGCATATTAATATGGATTAGGTAAATGATAAGAGTTTTGAAAAGAAAAAGGGGCGCCCTCTACTATTTCAATAACAAAGATGGCAGAAAATAAACAAACATCGCAAAATCAAGTTTTTTTCTTGTTTCTTACCTATAGTACATCCTGTCAAGCAATTTTAATGTTGGAGTATAATACTGCGGACAACTCAGTTCAGAATTCAGGGATAACATGTTTTGTATTTCGTCGACAATTGGGGCGTTTATGTTTGGATAGAGAATTTTTCAGAAATCATGAGGGGACATTGGGGAATTTTACTGAAAATCGAGGGCAACATAGACTTCTCCCTTGAGCTTCTCTAGAGAGAAGTGGGGAGTCCTAGGGCGCTCACTTGCATGGTGTGGTGACCCCTGGGAGAAATGGATCAACCATTTTTTTCATGGGAAATGTTAAATAAAACGGATTTCGCAGAAGAAGGACATAGCAGAGTGGAACTGCTTAGTGTGTGGTATATATGAATCTATAATTTGCTACAGATGTCTGGAGTGGTACCACCTAAAATGTGTTGGCCTCAAAATGTCACATAAGGCTACATTCTGGATGTGCAGGAAGTGCAACCAAAATAATTAGCTATAATACTTCTTATTACGTATAAATGTTTAAAGTATCATTGCTATGTTCATTAAATAATTTTCTATTTATATAAATTTTTTTAAATATGTAAACCAAAGTATATGGGGCAATGACACGAAGACAGTACAAAGTATACCGATGCTACACATAAAAAAGACTTAATTTGCAAATGTAAAAATTTTGCAATCAAGGCCAAAATAAATAAATTGTGTGTTTGTGGTCTTCTGACCCGACCTCCATTTCAGACGCCGACCCTAAATATTTTATTGACGACTATAAAAAGAAATTTAAAAAGACTGGATTTTTCGGTCTTTCTGGATTCGATTATCATTTTAGAATACTATTGATCTACAAAGTGTTTGATAGTTACGACAAATATGCATTAGTAAAGCGTATCAAGAACCAAGATTTTAAATAAACAAGCATGACTTGTTGTAGCTGCGGAACCTAGCTCGTAGGTTCTTGTGATATATTTTGACAATATGCGGACCATCCGCACAAATCAAAAAACATAATAAAGACCATTAGAGTAACGGTTCCGCAGCTAGGCTTGTCGACAATCTTGCCGCTTATTATCTGTCAAATATGCGAAATGTGATAATGATAAATCCTTGCATGGATGCAAAAGTTAGAATCGTTCCAGGTTAGACAGGCGGTATCTGTCGGTGAACAGGTTTAGACTTTAGAGTGTAATCTGCTAAAGCCAATCAAGCTATTGTTGTACCGAATTGAGCTCAGGACGCAACATAAATGGCTGTCAATGCCTTTGAGCAGTTGAGTTAATGATGGCAGGGTACTGACAATGTGTAACAAGAAAGAGAAAAAAAGAAGCTTTCCCTAGTAGGCAGACATGGTGTTTGATTCATGTTCATTTGTAAATGAATCTGCCCAGGCACCATGTCAACCTTTATTCTTTTCATATTTTTTCTCTGGCTGGTCCCATAACAATGTATATTTGTTTCTGCAATTTATTTGACCAATATATTAAGACAAAGATTTCTCATTCTCACTCTTCTCAAAACCTGGAGTTTTGATATTGTCAGAACCACCCACTCTTCAAAATCACATTCTGTCTAACATCAAAACACATCTTTATATATTAAAAATAGAGGGTCAAGGGCAGAGTATTACTCCTCGAAACCTCATAATCAACCTCTACTTAGCATCAGTTCACAATGTTTTCAAGGGGTAATAATCTGCTCCCATATGTACCCTGTGTGTCATTTACATCATAAGGTTCAACAAGGCCCTACATAATAACCCACCATGATTTTTCACTGCCAATTTTTGGTTTGAGATAATTCATCGGCAAGAACATGTTCCCTATTTTGACCCATGATATGCATAAAATTTGCATTAAAGTTTATTTTCATATTTCTGACACAGAACTAATACAGAAAATTAAAAATGCTGTAGATTTAAGTATTATTCTAAATATTAAAGAATCAGGCAAAGGGTAGCACGCCCATACATCAATGATTTGATTTGGAACCTTTTTTATACGACCGCAAACAAATTTTGGGGTCGTATATTGCTATCACATTGTCGTCCGAAGACATTTGGTTTCCAGACAATAACTTTAGTTTAAGTGTATGAATCTCTATGAAATTTAAGCAAAAGGTTCAAAACCACAAAAGGAAGGTTGGGATTGTTTTTGAGGTGATGGTCCCAACCGTTTAGGAATTAGGGGCCAAAAAGGATCTAAAACAAGCATTTTTCTAGTTTCAGGACAATAACTTGTGTATAAGTATTTTGATTGCTCTGAAATTGTACCTCAAGTAGAAGGTTGGGATTCATTTTGGGGGTAAATTGCCCAAACCGTTCAGGAATTAGGGGCCAAAAAGGATCTAAAACAAGCATTTTTCTAGTTTTCAGACAATAACTTGTGTTTAAGTGTATTGATGTCTCTTAAATTGTACCACATTTTACAAAAAGAAAATTTCTTCAAATGTTATTTTTTTGGAAAGGGGGGGGGGGGTGTAATCTTTTCCTCAAGATTTAAGAAATTAAAAAGAAAATTTCTTCAAATATAATTTTTTTGGGAAAGGGGGGGTTGGTTGGTTGGTTATCAATATTTTTTCCTCAAGATTTAAGAAATTGTCAATTTTCCAAAGAAAAATTGGGGGTCACAATTTATTTGCTAATTCTTTGTATATATATAGTCTGAAAACAGATTTACTTAGTATTGCGCAGTTTATTGCACAAAAGCAAGAAATCTTCAATTGAATATATATATATAAATTCAAATCATATAACCAATTTCAAGTTCTTTGACTACATTTATTCTGTGTCAGAAACCTATAATGTGTCAAATATTTAATAACAATCCAAATTCAGACCTGTATCAAGCTTGAATATTGTGTCTATTTTTGCTCCAACTGTTCAGGGTTGGACCTCTGTGGTCGTATTCAGCTGTGCTCGGCAAAGCAGTTTATTTTCTGTTGTCAACATGGAATAAAAATAAAATGTTTTCATTAAATAAAATGTTTTACCTACCTACCCTACCTAATATTTTTGGAGGTGAAATAGGAAACACACAATTTATTTATTTTGGCCTAACATAACTGCAGGTAACAATAAAAATTATTTTATTGTTACAGTCCAATTCCGTATGAAATTGGGTCCCTCTCTCGAAATCCATTTCGGCAATTAGTTTCGGAAGTAACAATAATTATTTCTTATTATTACTTTTTGTGGGTAACCGTAGCCAGTGCCTATTGAATAAGGGTCAGATATTCATAATGGAGGTAAAAATGGTTTGAAAAATACGGGAAAACATCATTGAAACAGAACAGTTGCTTGGAAACATGCATAGGATTTCCTTTACTTTCATACTATTTCTACCTCTATCCAAAAAATCTTCCCCAATTCTATATAGTTTCAATAACTGTGAAGTCGCCTATTAGAATTTGCAAATTTTTGAGTCTCACTAATTAGCCACAAGTAGCAACGAGAAGACTAATTTAGCACAAGAAAACAAATTTAGCATCAAGAAATATGACAATTAATTATTTCAAATAAATAAGTATTTTAAAAAAAATGCATTAAATGCTGTTTAAATATAGTGTATTAAAGTGGTTTTCATAATTTCATTATATACTAATATATGAAGAAATTAAAGATAAGTGTTTAAGATTTTTTGGGCCAAAATTATGATTTAGTGAACCAACTTGGTTGCAGAAGTAAATACATACATACATGTGTAAGGTTGTCAAAAGGGACAAGTGTTAATCCTGAACATTGTTGCAAGAAGGTACATCAATCTATTGTAAGATTTTCAGTTCATAGTATATAATTTTGTTATATAAATGAATTGATTCAAACCAAAAGTTTCCTAATCTTTTTTTTTTTATAGGCTGCAAAGGTGTTCAAGTGGAGGAAATATGGAGTTTAGATCCTGACAGCTTTACAAACTTGAAGTAAGTTAAACAAAACAGGGTTCTTACTAAGTCAAGCTATGAGTCCTGGACTAATGAAAATTAAACTCATATCCATTAAAGACCAAATAAGAAAGATGTAAACAATTTCAGGTAACCTCACAGCTTTTAACAATGAGAAAAACCCATACCATATAGTAATCTTTGAAAGGATCTAGAATGATAAAATGAAGCAATTCAAAAGAGAAAACCAATCTCCTGAATCATACTACATTTGTTCAACAATAAACAAAAAAACAGTAATGACCAAATGGCATCCAACAACAACCACTGGAAATACTTATGAATAATGTGTTGATTTGGAATATACCTTACTATACAAAGGGTTTACAGTTTTTGTCGCGCCTGTGACAAAAGGCGCATAAATCGTGACATAGGGATTGCTTCTCTGGCGAAGACAATGATGACATCAACAATTGTTTAAGTTTTTTGCTTACAGTGGTAAGTTAGTTTGATAGGAACAACTTGTGATAGATCAATGATATTTTGTATGAAGTTGCATTATTATCAGTACATATCAGTTTGATAACTATTTTGAGGTCCTACCCCCTAGGTCATGGTGCAGTGACTTTGAATTAATGAGCAATTTTCAATGTAAAGTTTTCTGCTTTAGTTAGTTTGATAGGAACTGCTTACAATAGACAATTATATATATTTTCTATCAAGTTACATTACTGTCTGTACATCTCAGTTTGTTGACCATTTCAAGGCACTGCTCTCTGGTCTATGGTCCAGGGACTTTGAATTAATTGGCAATATTGCTGTCCATCTGTGTCTTTTTCTGAATGTTATGCCAACAGATAAGACATATTTCTGTGTCAACAGTTTATTGATTTTGAGATAGTTATGGCAAAGTCAATTCCACAGCAGGTGAAATTAGGGAAACTTTTGGTTGCTAGAGGTACTCTTAAATTTTCTAAATAATATACATAATATACTAAATCTTGACACAATTTTGGGGGTATTGACCTTATTAGCGATAAGGAGAAATGAAGGTACTTTATAAATTACTGTGGATTCAATATTATTTGTGTGGTACCAATTTTCTTTGATTTCGTGAATATAGGTAAACCACAACTTATAATGTGCAAAGAGGTACAATTTTGCTTTTGGCGTCTATGCATACATTAGCAAATTCACGAAATCATATAGCCATGAAAAATAAGAATCCATGAAAAATAAATGAATCTACAGTATCCAAATTTAGTTCTGTAGGATGAACATAGGGTAGCAGAGGCAATCTATGAAGTTTCGTTTTCTGAAACTGTTAAGAGGAATTATTATATTTAAGAAACTTAAGGGGATTGAATATTATAAAAACACCCACAAAGGATCTCATTGAAAGTTGGTTGGATGGCAAATTTGGCAGTATTTTAGAGATAACTGTATTGTATTTGAAGCTTTGCGGACGTCCATCGGTAGTTTTACTGTCGCAAATTTAGTTTACCTGGCGACGCGTAGCGGAGACAGGTAATCAGTTATTTGTGACAGTAAAACTACCGATGGACGTCCGCAAAGCTTCAAATACAATACAATTATCTCTATTCTAATGCAAAATAAAAAAATCATTCAGTTTTAGTCATTATTATAGTGTAAATTTTCATTAAACGAAAATTCCGCGAAATGATGTTATCTTCTTTGGCGCCTAAACTAGGTGACGTCATAAGTATGCTTCCGGCATCACACGTAAACACCGGCCGTTTTCTGTCTTCTTGTCCGCTTCAAAATGTAATAAAATTTGATAAAAAGAAGATTTCTAGGTGCAAAATGTGAGTTTTTTTGCTTATTATTGGTGAAATTACATGTCAATACATTCCAGAATTCAAAATGTCGGCTTCCTTAGTTACAGACAGGGAGATAGAGAATTTTACGCTTATTGTCATCCAATCAGAACCACTGATACAAAATAACTGCATTAGAATTGTGATTCTGTGGCTTCTGTAATTTTATTACCTACATGTATGTAAGTTGATGATTTAAACATAATACAATGTTTTCATTAGTATATTTTGCATTTCTAGACCAGTTCATGGGTTAGTTTTTCTGTTTAAATGGCAACCAGAGTCAGAACCACAAGGAACTATAGTACAGGATAGTAGACTAGAAAAAATTTTCTTTGCCAAACAGGTTAGTGTAGTTATCTATCATCATTATACAATGAATATGAAGTAGGGGTTGTAACTGCCAGAATTTGTGTCACAGATGTGTCTATCTACACTTTTTCAAAATGTCGGTATCTACACATGGAAAAAACTTTAAAAAGACAACTGTTTGTGATGAAAGGAAAATGAGATAATTCTTGTCTTTTGCGGAGAAAATATGTGTCCAATCTCAAATAGCCAACTTTAATTTATCAAATCCTAAATTCATTTCAAATAACCACTAACATGACTAAAGTCCTTCAGTTATGCAGTAAGACTTGAAATGTATACTACACACTAAATCTCTTTACAAATCTAGTTCTTGATAAGTTCAATCTTTTTGGAAAAAGAGGCACATCCTTGAAAACATACAATGTAAAAATGTAACATTTACAATTCATATTGAATTTTTTTTGTTCAATGTAAGATGAATTATAATTTTGTTAGGTTGTTGTCCTTTAAATCAGAATTAGATGTGTTTACTACCTTGAAAGAATAACAGTTGTCAAGAAAAGCCAATTACATCATGAACCAGGAAATTAATGACCTGTTGAACTAAATTGACCAGTTGGTTTCTATATTAATGAAAGCTTTTTTGTCACCTTATAAAATGTTAACAATCTAATTCGTTTCAAACACTTTGCTAAGTACTGATCAATATTCCAGGTTATAAATAATGCATGTGCAACACAAGCCATTCTGAGTATACTGCTGAATTGTGAGCCAGAAGCTTTAGAACTTGGAGAAACATTAACTGGTTTTAAAGAATTTGTACAGAGTTTTGAACCTGGAGTAAGTAAGACCTTTATACTGTTAAATATGATAATCTTAGTAAAAATGTACTTAAATGAATAACAGAGTTAAAAAGAACAACAGGATAGTAAAAATGAGTGTGTAAGAACTACTGGTATTTGAATCATGGTGAAAGTAAGAACCATACAGTCTGCACCGTTAGCCACTAGTCTGATGCCTGATTAGTAAATTTTTGTGCGGACTAGGAAGTATTTTCAAAACTTTGCTAGACACATTCAAGGCTCGACATTACCGCTTGTCCGATTGGCCGGGACAAGTGGACACAGACGTCGGGCAAGTAGATTCACCATACTACTTGTCCGAAGGGACAAGTGAAAAATCGATGTCAGATATAAAATATATCAAATTCAAGACTTATAAATTCCCAAAATATTGAAAGATTCTTTTAATGATGATACGAAATGAAATATATTCATTGATTGAACATGCTGGCAGCGGCTGACCAGGGGAATATAAGTAAGGGGGAAGGAAACCAATGTTAATATGCTGGGAAGATTTCATTCGAAACCTCTCAGGGAGAAGCGTTTATATCGAAAGGATAAATCCCGAGAGATCCTGGTCACTGGAATCGCGATCTCTAACATGTTTTAATCAGTTGAAATTCACAAGGTGGCCAGGTGTTTGAATGGGACAAATGCTATGAATTTCACTAATACATTGATGATAGGAACCATATCTTGTATATAAACCTTTTAAATTTATTGATGGTAGCAAAACAAGCTTTTATAATTTTATCTTGATTTTTAAATACATTGATACAAAAAAATTGTTTATGAAGTACATAAAACATTCTACTGAGAAAATCTGCCTTTTTAGATTTTATTATAAAGCAAAATCAAATGAAACATACTTTAATTATAAATAAAACTGAGGTACTTGTATTAGTGAATTTGTATTAAAAAGTTCCCTGTAAATATGCCATGCATGACACTTTTATTGTTTATTTATATGTTCTGTACATATGTTGGAAAAAAACGTTTTTATTCTTTAAAATTTTAAAGTTAAGGTAAAACTCCATATGGAGGTGGGCCTACATTTGTAATTAAAGTGATGATGATTTAATGAACGACACATGATAGTGACATTGAGTCAGATAGCTCAGTCTGAAATAATAAAATGAAGTTTGATGTGGTATTCTTTATTTAGTTACAAACAAATTCATATAGCATAGCAAATTGCTCCCTGGCTTCATTAGGTACGATCAAAGCTCAAGTGGTATTGGTGCATACCTTCGATATGTAAGATTTTCAATTTTGAATTTGGACAAGTGAGTTAAGAGTTCGGACAAGTTGATTTTCTTACAACTTGTCCGAAGGGACAAGTTAGAAAAAATGATAATGTAGAGGCCTGACATTACCGGTAGAAAAATTTCAGAATATTGGTTTTCAGACTAAAAGATTTTGGTGCAGACTGACTATACATTAGGTCAAGATCACATGTAATATTAGATAACTTTCAGGCATTGTATTCATTTTTCAGATTATCTTTAGACTTTTCAAAAATTATTATTGTATTGTAATAGTGTGAAGCCGTTAGAATGCCGAGTTCAACAGTTAATTTCACACCATGACCTGAAACATAATAAGCATTGAAAAAAAATGTGTTGATAAGGCAGGTTCTTAAATTCTGTGTATGAATGTAATAATTTGTCATGTTTTTTTTTTTAATTTTAGTTAAGGGGTTTAACGCTGAGCAATTCTGATGTCATTAGACAAGTCCACAATAGTTTTTCAAGGTAAGAACAATCACAGGTTCTGAAACAAAGGTAGGCATTGTAGATTGGTTTTATTGTCTCGCCTTGACGGAGTCAAAATGCGAGACATAGGTATGCTGTTGCTGTCAACAATGTATTAGTTTGTGATTAGGTCTAGTTCATGGTGAACCACTAGTGGTAGGTCAATGATATTTGGCATGCAGTTGAATTAGCATTGGCACATCTCATTACCATGGAGATTATTTGGCCCCGCCCCCTCAGTCAAGGTCTATTGACTTTGAAACTTTTCATAGTTTACATGTATTAGTTTGTGATTAGGTCAATTTATGGGGAACCACTAGTGGTAGGTCAATGATATTATGTATGCAGTTGTATAAGCATTGGCATATCTCATTTCCATGGAGATTATTTGGCTCCGCCCCCTTAGTCATGGTCTATAGACTTTGAAAATTTTGCTAAGTTAACATGTACTAGTTTGTGATTAGGTCAGTTCAAGGGGAACCATTAGTGGTAGGCCAATGTTAGTTGGTGTTCAGTTGTATAGGCATTAGCACATCTCATTTCCATGGAGAATATTTGGCCCCGCCCCCTCAGTCATGGTCTATTTACTTTGAAACTTTTGCTTAGTTTACATGTATTAGTTTGTGATTAGATCAGTTTAAGATGAACTGCTAATGTTAAGTTAATGATATTTGGTATGCAAATTTATTGGCATTTGCAAGTATCTTTTCCATGGAGATTATATAGCCCCACCCCTGATCATGGTTCATTGACTTTGAAACTTTAACATAGTTTATAAGTTAATGTTTGTGTTTAGGTTTGTTTAAAGGGAATGACTTATGATATGTCAATGGTATTTAGTATGCAGTTGTATTAGCATTGGCACATCTCATTCCATGGAGATTGTTTAGCCATGTACCTTCAGTCATGGTTCATCGACTTTGAATATTTTCATAACTTACATGTTAAAGTATTGCTATTTTAATTTCAACATTTGCATTATCAAAATTTCAAAAAGGCGAGACATATCTCTGTGATAACAGTTTTTATCTATTCTTTAAACAAAGTATATTCTGTAACAGTTGAATTTTTGTCGAGCCTGTGACTTGTGTTGCAGAAAGCATGACATAGGGATAGTGATCCAGCGGCGGCGTTAACTAACTTCTTAAAAGCTTATTATTTCAGAAGGTAGAATACCTGGATGCTTCATACTTTGTATATGAAGTTTCCGTATGTCATATGTCCATTGTCCTTAACCTCATTTTCATGGTTCATTGACTACTTGAAAAAAAGTTAAGATTTTTTGTAATGTTAATTTCTCTCTTATGAGTAATAGGATAACTATATTTGGTATATGCGTACCTTGCAAGGTCCTCATGGCTGAAAGCCTGTTTTCACTTGACCTCGACCTCATTTCATGGATCAGTAAACAAGGTAAGGTTTTCGTGGTCAAGTCTATATCTCAGATACTATATGCAATAGGTCTACTATATTTGGTGTATGGAATGATTCTAAGGTGTATATGTCTGTCTGGCACGTATCATCTGACCTTCACCTCATTTTCATGGTTCATTGGTCAATATTCCGTTTTCCTGGTTAACTTTGTTTCTTAGATACTATAAGCAATAGGTCAACTATATTTGATGCATGGAATGATTTTAAGGTGTACATGTCTGTCTGGCAGGGTTCATCTGACCTTGACCTCATTTTCATACTTCATTGGTCAATATATAATTTCCATGGTTTGATCTGTTTCTTTTATACTATAAGCAATAGGTCATCTATATTCGGTGTATGGAATGATTGTATTAAAGGTGTACAAGTATTTCAGGCTTGGTTTATCTGACCTTGACCTCATTTTCTTGGATCTAAATGTTAATGTGATACTTGTAGAAAAACTTTATATTTAGGACTATCAACATAAGATCAATGGTCAGTGTAGAAGGTGAGACATTTCAGCGTGTGCACTCTTGTGTAAAGTTAAAGAAGTTATCAAGCTTTAGAATTGGAATTTTTCAGAACAAAACAAAATTGTGTGAATGAAACAAGAAACAAATATATAAATTTGACATGCAGAATATAATTCTTTACTTTTGGGTTTTGCTAGCAGTTCAGGAACTTCTTAACCTTCTGGCAGTCAGAGCTCTGACATAAACAAGTCAGAAAAAAATGACTTCTTCCAGTCAGAAAGTGTTCTGAAATTCTGACCTGTACGAGTCAGTTTTTATACGACCGCAAAAAATTTTTTGGGATCGTATAATGGTAGGTTGTCGTCTGCGTCGTCGTCAGAAGACGCATTGTTTTCCAGACAATAACTTTAGTTTAAGTGAATGGATCTCTATGAAATTTTTTAAGAAGGTTCAATATCACAAAAGGAAGGTTGGGATGGATTTTGGGGATGATGGTCCCAACTGTTTAGGAATTAGGGGCCCAAAACAAGCATTTTTCTAGTTTCAGGATAATAACTTGTGTATAAGTATTTCGATTGCTCTGAAATTGTACCACAAAGTTTAATACCACAAGTAGAAGGTTGGGATTCATATTAGGGGTTATGGGGGCCAACAGTTTAGGAATTAAGGGCCAAAAAGGGGCCAAAAACAAGCATTTTTCTAGTTTCCAGACAATAACTTGTGTGTAAGTGTATGGAACTCTCTGACATTGTACCACAAGGTTCCATATAACAAAGGGAAGGCTGGGATTGAGTTTGGGGTTAATTGCCTCAAACATGTAGGAATTAGGGGCCAAAAACAAGCATTTTTCTAGTTTTCAGACAATCACTTGTGTGTAAGTGTATGGATCTCTCTTGAATTGTACTACAAGGTTCCATACTACAAAGGAAAGCCTGGGATTGAGTTTGGGGTTATTGCTCCAAGGGGGGTTTCAAAAAGTTGGGGGGGGGGGGGGAGAATTTTTTCCCCAATTTTTTAAGGGATCCATATTTTTTTTTCAAAATTTTTTAAATTTCAAATTTTGAAAAATTTCAAGAAGAAATCTTCAGTTGCACAGTATTGCGCAATGGATTTATTAGAACTTTGACCACATTTATTTAGTGTCAGAAACCTATATTATGTCAAAAATTTGATCACAATCCAAATTCAGACAGTAACAAGCTTGAATACTGTGTCCAAATTTGCCCAACTGTTCAGGGTTCGACCTCTGCAGTCGTATCAGGCTGCGCTCAGCGAAGCATTTTATTGTTTTCGTAGTTTTCCATCGAATCCGTCAAACCAGAAGTTATTTTGAAATTGCCGCCAATCTACGTCACATACGATCAAGTGGTTTTTTTGCGAGAGTTCACGTGATTGAAAGTCGTTGTTTTGGAAGTGTCGCAAAAGTAAAGTCACTGAGTACTTTATTGATTATTTATGTTTTTTAGTGAAAATCTCAGAAGGTTAATACATATAGCCTCCGTATTGTTATGGCCATTTTTATTTTTTGCATGTTAAGGAGTTCCATGCTAGTGATTTTTTTGCTGTTTCATGAAGGTGCGTGACCTGTAAATACGGGCGCGTGGTCATTGAGATGACCTGGTGTTTGACAATTCTGACTTATTCACGTCAGAAAATGTTGTTATTGTAATGAATTGTTATTTTCGGGAGATAACTCGTGTTGTCTTAAACAGGATTAACCTTATTTTCTAATTCTAAAAGTAAACTATTTACTTCGAGCACACGTTCTGACCATCATTACGTAATTTTTCTATTTTAAAACTAAATCATGAATTAATTTTTTTAACCTTTCTGAGGTGATTTATATCTTCTTTTTTTTCGTTTCTCTTTATGCCACTGTCACTATGAGAAAATCGATCATTGACATTAGAAATATTGATCTACAACTTTTAATGATATTGAAACGAAAACGGGAATAAAAAAGAAAAAGGAAAGGAGGGGTTAACTATAAAACCCTATAGTCTTTTTTAAACTTTTTAAGTGATTATAACGAGAAAAATAAGTGATTCATACACAGCCTGACAGGTTCTCCAATTATAATCATGGGACATGTAAAAAAATAAATGAAATGAAGGGTGTTTCCAGGGGTTACTCCCACCCCTTGCCATTTGAGAATGTTTGTATATCTTGTAAACAGCCAAAATCCCCACTCCTAAACCATATATATTCCTGTTCGTAATGTCAAATTGAATTGAATGAGATACTAGGACTAGGTTTGTCTCCAGGGGTAATTCCCACCCCTTGCCATTTGATAATGTCTGTATATCTTGTAAACGGTCAAGATCCCCACCCCTAAACCATATATATTCCTGTTTGTAATGTCAAATTGAATTGAATGAGATACTGGGGGAGTCTCCAGGGGTAACCCCGCCCCTTGCCATTTAAGTATGTTCTTATAACTTGCAAACGGTCAAGATCCCCACCCCTAAACCATATATATTCCTGTTTGTAATGTCAAATTGAATTGAATGAGATACTGGGGGAGTCTCCAGGGGTAACCCCCACCCCTTGCCATTTGAGAATGATTGTATAGCATGTAAACCGTCAAGATCCCCACCCCTAAACCATATATATTCCTGTTTGTAATGTCAAATTGAATTGATTGAGATACTGGGTTTGTCTCCAGGTGTAACCCCACCCCCTGCCATTTGAGAATGTTCTTATAACTTGTAAACGGTCAAGATCCCCACCCCTAAACCATATACATTCCTGTTTGTAATGTCAAATTGAATTGAATGCGATACTGGGGGAGTCTCTAGGGGTAACCCCCACCCCTTGCCATTTGACAATGTCTGTATATCTTGTTAATGGTCAAGATCCCCACCCCTTAACCATATATATTCCTGTTTGTAATGTCAAATTGAATTGATTGAGATACTGTGGGAGTCTCATGGGGTAATCCCCACCCCTTGTCATTTAAGAATGTTTGTATATCTTGTAAACGGTCAAGATCCCAACCCCTAAACCATATATTTCCTGGGCTGCTTATATTGAGTTCACACATGCATCACATCTTATTTATTTCATGACATACCGTGGTATTTGTTTTTCTTTGAAATTTATACATCTATAATTCTAATCTGAAATTAATAACGGACCACAGATGCTTAGCCACATGAAGTATTTACCTCTTATTTGAAAGACAGATAGTCTTTGTTTCCTCAGAATTTAGAAGAAAATTGGAAGTCAATATTCTGACCTAAAAAAGTCAGAATGTTCTGACTTATTAAGGTCAGAAAAACTCAGAATGTTCTAAACAAAACTGACTTGTTTATATTTTTTCACATAAACCTGATAAATACATTTATCATATATTTGATGCTATATACAGCAATTTTGTATATCTAATGAAGATTCTTTTTGCCAGTCTATATCACCTACCCTGTATCGCATACTTGAAATATGACGTCCAGTTGCTGTATTTCATGGCATGATACGAAATGTAACCTCATTTAGTTTAAATTTCTGAAAATTACTTGCTTAAGAAAATGGGTAATTTATGACACTGCTTCAGATTAAAAATTTTCATTTTGGAAAATGATCAAAATACCAATGAATACTCTCTCCACAAGTTTTTTGTGCTTAGAGGTACATATATCATTACAATCGAAGGTGGGTCCACAAAAAAAGAGTCTTATCATCCCAAATGGTAAAATTAGCGACTCAATTTTTTCAGATTTCATGAACAAAATTTAATTATTTAGGTGAAAAGGAGGCGGAACATTCACTGCATATCCCTCGAAACAACAACTGATAATACTTCTTTCCGGATTTTCTGTGATACCTTTGTAAATGATTACAAAAATGTATTTGGAACTGTTACCAGAATATTTATTTTCATGCCAGATAACACAAGATTATTTATTTTTATCTAAATAGGGGCCTGAATATTTATTTCTAAAATCTGCCAGGCCCCCACCTCAGAATCAAACGATTGTCCTCTTACATATAATGAATCTGATTTTGTTAAAATATATGATAAACAGATCAATACATCGGCCCTCAGGACTGAGATTGGTTTCTCGTGGTGATACAGCATGCGATACGGATTTTGCCATGTGTTAATAAAGTTGTATGTAGATAATTAAAAATCATGCGACCTGAAATCTGCTAATATTACTCTTTTTTTCTAAAGGATATATTTTTTTTTCTTTTATGTTTCCTTAGAGGTCACATGACAATGCCTGACTTAAAAGTTGCAATAAGTTTAGAAGTTTTTGGCTGACTCTTTCAAGTCGGAACATAATGTGACTTGTTTGAGTCAGTTTGCATAACAGGATTTACCTTAATGAAATATTAAAATATCAAATAAATACCAAATAAACTTTTATATGTATAGTTCTCATAATTGTGACTTAATCAAATCTTTTAAATTGTTTTCCTACTTTTATCCATACATTCTAAAAATCACATCACAATCATGACAATGCCTGGATGTTACAATCACAAAAAAAAAATCATTGACTGCCTCTTTAAAGTCAGAACATGACATTACCTGTTTGATTTAAGTTTGCCATTCATTAGCCCATTGTTAAGTTTATTATTGAATGATTAAGTCAAATGGTTATTTATTTCACAGGATCTTGCATGTATTTACTGTGTCTTTTATCAGACTTTTCCCATACATTCATTAATATCATATTGCAATGCCTCACAATCTCAATAAATTTAGTTATGGACTGACTCTTTTAGGTCAGAACATGATTTGACTTGTTTAAGTCAGTTTGCAGAACAAAGATTCCAATGAAATCGATTTGTTCTTCCTTTCAAGCCCCCTTTCTGAATCTGCCACTGCTAGTTAATTATTTTAGAAGTACAAAAAAAGTATTAAGAAATAATTAAGTCAAATGGTTATTAAAATATTTTTTTTGACAACCATAAGTTCCATGTGTTAACTTATCTGAAAATAAAAGTCAGTCAGGGGTACTACTTGTACAAGTAATCTTTATTTACTTGAAGAAGTAAAAAAAATATACTTATATAAGTTAATTATATTGTTTGAATAATCTCCCCTTAATTTTCTCAAAAATTTACTTGTATAAGTAATTTTTTTTTACAATCCCACAAAAATTCTCAAGTTTTGAGATGTAAAAACATGCCTTTAACAATTTTTCTCAGATAAGCTCATAATTTTTTATTAGAGTTCAATGTTTCATCTCCTTAATTCAACAAAGAAACTGATTGCCCAAAGATCTTAAGTATTTGCACAAGGCCTTCAAAAATTGCTCCTTGGGGGCTTGTAAATGAGAAGTGTTCTAAAGATAACAGACAAATGAGATTTTCATTGTCCATGAAATTACACTTAAATGATTAGTAAAGACATCTGCAAAGGACAGACAATTTAAAATTCGATTAGAGCAAAGAAGTCTTAAGAATTCAAGAAAAGAAGATTCAATGACTTTTTTACTTGTATAAGTAAAAAAATCTGAATGTCTAAGGGACATAACTAAGCCAAAAAATTATTTGCCTATACAAGTAAATAAAATACACTTGTATAAGTATCCTACAAATTTACTTATATAAGTATATTAATATTTACTTCTTCAAGTAAATAAAAATTACTTGTACAAGTAGTACCCCTGACTGAAAGTAATGAAAATACAGAAATAAAATAAAACTTCAAAATAATTTGATGAAAATATTTGAAAACAAAATACATTTTAATATTGAATATTTGTACCAAATATATTTTTGTTTGGTTATAGTCCTCATTATTGTGACTTTATTTAATGGGACCTTACTGCCTGACTTTCCCATACATTCTTAAAGCCAGACTTAAAAAGTTGCAATATGTTTATAAACAAATTATCCCAGTATTTGTGAATTTTGCATTGTATCTTTAAATTTCACATATTTTAAACATAAACATGTTCTTAAATAAATCAAATAATTTATAGTACACTTTTGGCACAGCTGTTACACTTACATTATACATTCTTTTACACAAAAACTTGTAGCAGATATGGTTATTAATAAATGTATGTTTTTAGATTCATTTGTATGTTTTTAAATGTACAGCTATTTTTGTTAGTGAATAAACATTTTGTTCTCAACTGCTGTTTCTTTATATACTTATTTTACAAAATTCAGATAACATACTAGTAATCACCATTTGTTTATATATATGTATATTTTTAAAAAGTTGTAGTAATGACTGCTTCAAGTCCAAGACAAAAATGACTTCTCTAGGTCAAAATGCATTTAAAAGGGGCATAAATCTTGTTAAAATATTGAGATATGAAGTCTTATTTCAATGTGCAAAAGCTGACCTGCCGAAGTCATTTTATGATAAATTAAAGTCTGACATAAACTGACCTGTACAAGCTTAAGTCATATTCTGTTTAGTACAAGAAGGGAGATAACACTGACATCAAATTGTATCTGACTATATTATAGAAGTCATTTTATTCTGACTTGTTTATGTCAGAGCTCTGACTGTCTGGAGCACACAAGTTAACCCCCAGTTTTGATGGAGTTTATGTTGCTCTTGAAAGCTATCTGTTTTTTCAAATAATTTTTTCTTTTGACCGTTTCTGTTTTTCTCTGAATTATAAATTTTGATTGTCATCTCAGTATCTTTTTCCACTATTTTCAATATAATTTTTTCAATTGTCCACATTTTCTGTGACGCCTTCCTGCGGCGTCATAATACTGAAATCATTTTTTTCAACTGGACTTTGAGAGCAAAAACTAATTTTAACATGAAATTTTCACTGACGATTAGAAACTCCAAAATTTAGTGAACATTCACTTTTCTTGCATAAATAGAAGAAGATATGATGGATGGATGAATGTTTGATGTAGAGCAGGTTCTATATCAACCATATACAGATTGAAAATATGCTATGATATGAATAGGTAATCCTAATATATACCAGACAGACAAATCTCAAATAGAAATGGTAATATTCTAGTTGACAAAGTAACAGTCCACAAAGTAACAGTTCACAAAGTAACAGTCCAAGTAACAGTTCACAAAGTAACAGTCCAAGTAACAGTTCACAAAGTAACAGCCCACAAAGTAACAGTTCACAAAGTAACAGTTCACAAAATTACAGTTCACAGAGTAACAGTCCACAGAAAAACTTATCATCCAACTTGCAATCTTACTTTTAAATTTTGCAGAAAAGTAGAAAAACTCTTTAGTTGGACCCTGCCAGGAAACCCAAGATTTTTGCAGTTATGATAAGCAGGCTACTATGTTGTGAACTTGAACTATCTAGAAATTTAGATGAATTATTGCTATGTGACAATCAGTTTTTTTACTCTCTAGGCAACAGATGTTTGAATTTGATGAGAAGCAAGCAAAGAAAGATGATGATGTTTTCCACTTTGTAGGGTATCTTCCAATAGCAGGACGTTTATATGAATTAGATGGTCTCAAAGATGGTCCTGTTGACTTAGGTAGGTGTAAAATATGTTACCATTTTTAGCTACTTGGCAGCCTTCGTAAGTCTGTCAAATTATTTACAAATAAGTCAACAGGGCTGTCAAGTCCTTACAGGAATTATTGCCCTTGAATGATGATTTTACCCAATTTTTGTTAAGTGTTTTTCTGTAATCTTGAGACCTGTAATTGATAGAGCTGGACTTTTTACAGCAAAAATGTATCAGCAAGCCAATATTTACAAATTAGACAACATGGCCAAAATCATAAATCAACCTTTTTATAGGAGTTATTTCCTTTCAATAATGATTTTAACTTTTTTTTTTGTGATTACTATAGGAGAAAAAAGAGAAACTGTGACAATGATAAAAATCTTCAGTTCTCTCTTTTTAAGAGTATATGCCCTGAAATGATGATTTTTTTAACCATTCAGAGGAATTTTAATCAGACAATTAAATATAGCTAATTAGATAACATTCTATACAATTCTATTTTTTGCATGAATAATCAAACCAGAAATAGCAATAAAAAAACAAATTATAGTACACATTGATTTTAAGTAAAAGAATACAATGTCTATATTTTTTCTAATAGGTGCTATTCCTGCTGATGCAGACTGGTTGAATTTAGTGCGACCTGTTTTAGAAAAGAGAATGCAGAAGTAAGTTATTCACAGTGCAAGAAATGTTTATATATAGATATTAATTTGCATGGACATTATGCATTTAATAAATTATTCATCAAACTGTTTTCATGCCCCACCTAGGGGCATTATGTTTTTCGTTCTGTTTGTCGGTTCGTTCGTCCGTCCGTCTGTCCCTCTTCAGGTTTAAGTTTTTGGTCAAGGTAGTTTTTGATGAAGTTGAAGTCCAATCAACTTGAAACTTAGTACACATGTTCCCTATGATATAATCTTTCTAATTTTAATGCCAAATTAGAGTTTTGACCCCAATTTTACAGTCCACTGAACATAGAAAATGATAGTGCGAGTGGGGCATCCATGTACTATGGACACATTCTTGTTTTTATTATAATGTATTCAAAATCTTAATCCTTAAAGCAAAGAATATGAAAAAAAGCAATGAATTTCCTAAGACAATAAATGTTTTGATCTGTCCAATATGACTTAATTGTAAGGATCATGTTAGAAATAAAATAATATTTAGAAAAATAAGGTTTCATTTAAGTCTGAAAATGTGAACACAGCATTAGATTTCTTACTGCATTGTGCATTTGAAAAGAAAATATATGAAGTGGATGTACAGGTACACGGGTATAGACTATTAAAGTATATCTTCCTCATCTGTAAATTATATAAAGCCTCTAATCTATAACATGAAAAATTAACTCTTTTTCTTCTATTTATTTAAGTGTATATTTGAATGATCTTTGATAAGGTTACTTTTTTATCCCTGTTTAAAATTTGAAACTTATAAAGTTCCTGTCATTATACGACCGCAAACAAATTTTGTGGTCGTATATTGGTATGACATTGTCGTCGTCTGAAGACACATTGGTTTTCGCACAATTACTTTAGTTTAAGTGAATGGATATCTATGACATTTTACCATAAGGTTCAATACCACAAAAGGAAGGTTGGGATTGATTTTGGGGGTTATGGTACCAATAGTTAAGGAAAAAGCATTTTTGTAACTTCCAGACAATAACTTTTTTGTTTAAGTGTATGGATCTCTCTGAAATTATACCACAAGTTTCCATACCACAAATGGATGGTTAGGATTGGCTTTTGGGGGTTATGGCTAAAACCGTTTAGGAATTAGGGGCAAAAAAGGGGAAAAACAAGGGTTTCCTGGTTAATGGACAATTTAAAAGCAGTGTAAGGGAGGTAATCCAAAAACAAAATTGTACAATGTTGGATTACCTCCCTTACACTGCTTTTAAATTATCTATTTAAGACGGTAATTATGGTTGCAAACTCCATTGGAAATTTGAATTGAAATTATGACCATATTTTGAGAGAAAGAATTTTTGGGGGGGGGGGGGGGGGTAAAAAAGAAATTGTGGAGGGCAATTTGTTTTTTCATTTCAGATTTCAGAAATTAAAAAGAAAATTTCTTCAAATATTTTTTTTTTTGCAAAAAAAAAAAGGGGGGGGGGTCAATATGCAACAGCATAGTGTATTTCACAAAAGCAAAAAATTGAATATAAATTCAAATCATATAACCAATTCTAAGTTCTTTGACTACAGTTATTCGGTGTCAGAAACCTATTATGTGTCAAATATTTAATTACAATCCAAATTCAGACCTGTATCAAGCGTGAATATTGTGTCCATTTTCGCCCCATCTGTTCAGGGTTGGACCTCTGCGGTCGTATCCAGCTGCGCTCAGCGAAGCATTTTATTTTTATTTTGCGTCAGTGCCAAGTGGCAAACCAAGTCAATCAATAATCTAATCAAGCTGTTGCTTGAAAATTTTGAATGTTTGTGCTTTTATTACTTATGTATACAATTTCTATACTTAATGTAACTGTGTCAAAAATCTCTTTTTGAGGTAATTTGGAAACAAAGCAAACATGATGAGAGAGAAATAATTATACCTTACTGTTACGGCCAGAAATCACCTATAAATTATAGCCAACAAAAGACAAAAAATCAATAATAAATTTAACAAGATTTATTATACAATTTTACAAGAAATATTATACAAATTGAAATGTCAACTTAACTGTTAAATATATGTTATCCTTTGTCTTTTCTTTATCTGAAATTCTTCTCCTAATAGTTGCAGATTCCAAATGTAAATATATCCAATAAGTTCACAATCTAGTATGATGTCGTTCATAAATAAAAGTGTCAATCCAACAACTCCAGAGAACTTCTGAGAATACAAGTATATTAATGTCTGATCAGTCTAATTTCGGTTGTCTGTTTATATAGTTGTCACAGAAACTTCTAGAACACTGTAGAAGGGAAACGCCTAGAAAACTTCAGAAGGGAAACTTCTAGAATACTGTAGAAGTTTAAATTACGCATCATAGATTGTGATCATTCCGGAATTATTATGCAAGTCAAATAGAAAGTTCTAATCATTCCATCAGTATCTATGATTGTTCCAGTGATCTCTAAATATTATTTTGTAAACAACTATAAATAGTAAACACCCCCAATTATGTATCCTATAAGGCCACACAAAACAAATTAGGCCAAGGCAAATAATTATAATAATTACAATCTCATAACACTTACTTGTATTTGAAGTGATCACAAGGTGGGCTATTTGTTTAAAGTAACAAGTATGAATTAAAATCTGTGCCAGTCCAAGACTAAAGTTTTATGAATGCTTTTTTTTATTAACAGGTACAGTACAGATGAAATTCATTTTAATTTAATGGCAGTTGTCTCAGATAGGAAAACATTGTATGAAAAGAAGATCTTAGAATTAACGTCACTAATGGAGGTAAAGAATAGAAAAAAGAAACATATATTAGGGCCCAAAATGAATACCTTTGACAAATATGTTGAGACAGCTGTTCACTTGTAGAAAGATGAAGTAGTTTCTTCTAGAATATGTTTTCGGTCATATATTGTCTTGTCCTGTCCATCTGTTTGTCTCTATATATGTCTATCACATAAAGGTATATGAATGTAGATGTGCACCTCAAAATATTGATATTTTGTTGATCAGATTGATATCAGTGGTGTTGAACATCAAATTATGGACATAACAATTTCTACATAAAGGAATGTTTGTCAATAAAAAATCCAAAATAGTTTACACAGGAATGGAATGAAATTTGGCAGAATTACTCTGCACAGTGTGTAATTAAGCACTTCCTTACTTATTTTTTGTGATTTTAATGCCCCTTGCCGTAATCGACGGGGACATTTAGTGTTACCCTTGACCTTCCATCTTTCTGTCCGTCCTATTTTCGTTGCAAAGCTTCAGCGGGGCCATTCATGTCCTCAGACACATTCATCTTTTATTTATATATCAGATTGATATTTAGGGTTTCCCATTGCAAAAGATGAAGATTACCATTTCTACCAAAAGAGATTTTTTTTCCAATAAAAATCTTCAACAGATAACTGTACATAGCAATGACATGGATCCTGGCATAATTACTCTGCATAATGTTTAGTTATGCACTTTCATATTTTATTTTTAATCTGATTGACTTATGGTGTTAGCATTTGTAAAACATGGACTATTAATTTAATATATGGGGAAGTTTGTAAGAAGTAAAATAATCCATAGTTTTCATTGCAAGGGAACAAAACTTGACAGAATTGTTTCATATCATGTTCGGGTTGTTTTTATGCCCCTGCCGCAAGGTGAAGGGGGCATGAAGTGTAACCCTTGACTGTCCTTCTGTCCCATTTCACATATTATAAGCAAGCTTGAGTGGGGGCATTTGTGTCCTATGACACATTCTTTTTTATTATGGCCTTATCATATAACAGTTTTGTGCAGATTAGTCATTATTTTAAGTTGTTATAACCAATCACAATTCATGATAAAGTAAACACTCAGACAAAGCCACATATAGGTTAATCTTTAAATCATTGCTGGATTTGGTGAAAATGAAGCTCATAGTAGTAAAAATATGGCTGGCCAATGTTATGCATAGCAATCATTGTAATTTGCATGTTTCTGTTTTAGGATAGTGGTATGGAAACAGATAACCTCCAGACAGAAATCAGTCATTTACATGATCTTATACAAGAGGAGGAAAATAAAATGAAAAGATACAAAGTAAGCACGCACAACATGTGCTGCATTGGTTATGTAGAAAACTATTTTCAGATTCAATTATAATACACGGTTACACATGATGGCAAAATAGTCAAGTTAAAAGTGAAAAGATTATGTTATCCATATAAATAACCTGCTGTTAATTACTGTTACTGTTATATGTTAGATGTTGTCAGTTTAATCTTGATACCTGGTGTTTTTTCAAAGTTTTCTCCATGATATGGTGTTCATTAAAATATGAAATCAGGAGTTAATCTGAAAAACAAATAGACCAATCTACCAGATAAGTATAGATTATAACATGCCCTTTTCCATATTGGCCCTGGTATCATCCCAAGACTCCCATATCGGCCTCGAGGCTTTAGCCGAGGGCCGATATGGGTCGAGGGATGATACCAGGGCCAATATGGAAAAGACATGTTATAATCTATTTATCACATATTTAAGTTCTGCAGAAAAGAGAAAAAAGTTCAATTATAACAATTTAATGAAATATAACAGGTAAAATCTTAAAAATTTTATCACAAAAGTTTTATCACATTTTTAAATTTAGTTTTTATCATTTACACTATAGAAATTTATTGTCACATTTCCACTTATTTCGGAATCAGGGCACATTTGCTCTACAAAGTCTGCCGTATCGCTTTCCTCCACTGCGATGAAACGAGCAACGTTATTGTTCGCCATTGTCGTTAAGGACGCAATGACGTCACGTCATTTGGAATCGGGGCACAATAACCAATAACCTCTTTTTTGCCCCGGGCAATTTTGAGGTTATTACATATGCAAAACCCAACGTATTCGTAACAAATATGTGATAATAATTTTGATATTTGTTTTATATTTGGAGTACAGTAATCAAGAGGAATGGTAACATTATGCAACAAATAGCACATGCATATTCAGGTTGATAGCATTTTGATGTCATATAGATATACCTTGTTTGAAATAGAATGGCACAATGAGTTGCATTGTTAATATGGAGGCTTACAAATACGAATACGAAAGTTTTATTTTGATTCGGTTCACATATAACAATACAAACATAAGCTCTTAAGAGCTTTTTACCGAATATAAGGTAACACAAACACAACATTAAAACACACAATATGCAGACAGGATATATAACAGCACAGACATATCGAAATACATGCAAAGCACTTTTAAAATACATATCTAAAGCCAAAGCTGAAGCACAACTAAAAATTAAGCACAACTAAAATTAAGCACAAATAAAATATAGCACACATGCAAAAATTTAAGGCATAATAACATGTTAGAGCAACTTCTAAAATATGATAAAGCTTATCTACAAGCAGAACAACAACATTTTGAACCATTCCAAGACTGTATAAGGCTCTTAAATTGAGAAAAACTGTTTTCAGTCCTGAAATGGTCAGGTAGGCTGTTCCACAGAGTAGCAGCTGCAAATTTAAAACTTTTCTTACCAAACTGTGTAGTTTTTACATGTGGTATATCCAGTATATTACTATATCTGAAAGAATATTTACAATCTTTTATATTTAATAAATCATGTAAACAGACAGGTGCTAACTTATTGACTATATTAAAAGTTTCAATTGCCATAGATCTTTGTCTTTTAATATGCAGTGAAGGCATCTTAGCCTTTTCAAGCAACTGTTGATATGAGCTTGAATGGTCTTTGTACACAAACCTTAGTGCTCTTTCTTGCACTTTTTCTAATTTTTTTGAATTTTTCTCGGTACAAAAATGCCATGCCAAAGGGCAGAAATTGAAGTTTGACAAAATAAATGTATGGAAAATAGTAAGCTTACTTAGCTTGTTCAGATAAGCTCCCAAACGTTTCAAAATATTTAGTTGCTGAGATGCCTTCCTGCATATTTTACCAATATGAATATCAAAATTTAGCTGATAATCTATGTCAATGCCAAGTAATTTGACAGTTGACTCACACGAAAGATCAGCACTTTGGATACGTATAGATGGATTTTTGTTATAGGTCTTTTTCCCAACTGCTAAGACCTGAAATTTGTCGGGGTTTGCCTGCATTTTATTTATTTTGAACCACTCAATAAGTTTGAGTGATTCAGATTCCAAAGTAGAAATCAAAACATCATAATCAGGACTACAGTAAGATAAAGTATTGTCATCTGCATAATTATACAAAGTTCCATTTTTGTCGAGCCTTCGACTTTTGTTGAAAAAGCGAGACATAGCGATCCTACATTCCGTCGTCGTCGGCAGCGTCCACAAATATTCACTCTGTGGTGAAAGTTTTTGAAATTTTAATAACTTTCTTAAACTATCCTGGATTTCTACCAAACGTGGACAGAAGCTTGTTTATGATCATAAGATAGTATCCAGAAGTAAATTTTGTAAAAAAAAAATTCCATTTTTTCCGTATTTTACTTATAAATGGACTTAGTTTTTCTGCCAGGAAACATTACATTCACTCTGTGGTTAAAGTTTTTGAAATTTTAATAACTTTCTTAAACTATCCTGGATTTCTACCAAACTTGGAAAGAACCTTGTTTATGATCATAAGATAGTATCCAGAAGTAAATTTTGTAAAAAAAAAATTCCTTTTTTTCCGTATTTTACTTATAGATGGACTTAGTTTTTCTGCCAGTTAACATTACATTCACTCTGTGATTAAAGTTTTTAAAATTTTAACAACTTTCTTAAACTATCCTGGATTTGTACCAAACTTGGACAGAAGCTTGTTTATGATTAAAAGGTAGTATCTAGAAGGAAATTTTGTTAAAATTTTGTTCCATTTTTTCCGTGTTTTACTTATAAATGGACTTAGTTTTTTTTCCAGTTAACATTACATACAGTCTGCAGTTTAAGTTTTTAAAACATTTATTAGATTCATAAACTATCCTGGATTTTTACCAAACTTGGACAGAAGCTACTTACAATCAAAAGATAGTATAGAGAGGAATATTTTTATTAATTTTTTTCCTCATTTTTGTTGAGCCTGTGATTAACAGCAAAAGTAGGCGAGACACTGGGTTCCGCGGAACCCTTACGAATTTTTTATAAATAAGAATATATCATTGATAAAAACATTGAATAGTAGGGGGCCCAGGATAGAACCCTGGGGAACCCCCTTATGAATGTCAGCCCAACTGCTAAGAATACTATTTATTTTAATTTGTTGTTTCCTGTTTGTCAAATAAGATTTAAGTAGTGAAATAGAATGAACAGAGACACCATATGCTGATAATTTATCAAGCAGAATTTCATGTGGTAGGCAATCAAAAGCCTTTGAAAGGTCCATTAAAACAGCAGCTATATACTGGTTTTTATCTAATGCTGCACGCCAATCTTCTAGCAGTCGTAACAGTGTGGTCTGACACCCATGGCCACGTCTAAAAGCACACAGATAGGGATGAAAAATAATTTCAAAAAAATCACCAAGTTGAATTTCAAAAACCTTTTCATAAATTTTAGAAAAAATTGGTAGAACGCTGACAGGCCTATAATTGGCTTTGTCAAGTTGGTTGTTTTTCTTGTGCAGTGGTGTTACTTGAGCCTGCTTGGGTCTATCAGGAAAAACTCCAGTTTCTACAGATAGATTTATAAGTGTTGTTAACTGTGGCACAATTATCGGTTTACAATGTTTCACTACTTTTGCTGGTATACCATCTACTCCAGTAGCTTTTTTAATGTTAATTTTATTAATAATTTTTGCTACTTTTTCTGTTGTTGTTTTCTGAAAATCAAATTTTGTGTTAGTGCAGTTTTGATCTTTTATTTGCAAGATACTGGCATGAGTTGGTGGGTCGTATATCACGTCACTACCAATCTTGTCTGCAACTGTCGAAAAAAATGTGTTAAAGTGTTCTGAAACATCTTTGGTGTTGTTTATGATTTTGCTGTTTTCACATAAAACAATTGCTCACATGGTAATAGTCCTTAGAAAGACACATCACCCTACTAAGACACATTATTCTGACTCAAGTCATTGCTCTTAATTCTAAGCCATATGCTTTAGAGTAGAAATAGCAAATGCCAATTTTAAAGGTTTGATCTGGCTTTGGAATCAACCCTGAACCTCACATGTACTTTAAAAACAATTGAGGTAATTAAAGAAACTTTTTTGATTTTATGTGTTTTATATTCAAGTTATTCTTGTTCCTCATTTCAGGTTGAAAATGTCAGAAGAAAACATAATTATCTTCCCTTTATTATGGAGTTATTAAAAATTTTAGCAGAACAAAAACAGCTGTTACCACTGGTAGAGAAGGTAATAATGCTATGTTAATAATTAGTATTCAAGTTCTTCATGATGGTTTTCTCTCATTTTACTAATCTTTGAGTTTGCTCATGAATTTGTTGTTTAAAATTGTCATGGCATTTGAAAATTCTCTTGTTCTAGCTTAAACATTGTTAAAGTGGCAATACCTGTGTTTCACTAATTGATTTTGATAAGTGTAATCTTCATTAATGTAGAGCTTTTTTTATGCCCCCGCCGTAGAGGAGGGGGCAGTAAGTTTTACCCTTGTCCGTCTGTACGTACGTACGTCCCAAAATTGGTTTCCATTCTCTAACTTTAGTTTGCCTCAACCAAATGTTATGAAACTTATACACAATGCTTATTACCACAAAACACAGATCAAGTTTGAATTTTGGTGGCGTCACTTCTACCGTTCTAGAGTTATACCCCTTTTCAAATGGAAAATTGCTGAATTTATCGTTTCTGTTCTCTAACTTTAGTTTGCCTTAACCAAATGTTATGAAACTTATACACAATGCTTATTACCACAAAACACAGATCGAGATTGAATTTTGGTGGTGTCACTTTTACCGTTCTAGAGTTATGCCCCTTTACAAATGGAATAATTGCTGAATTTTTCGTTTCTGTTCTCTAATTTAAGTTTGCCTCAACCAAATGTTATGAAACTTATACACAATGCTTATTACCACAAAACACAGATCAAGTTTGAATTTTGGTGGCGTCACTTTAACCGTTCTAGAGTTATGCATCTTTAGAAATGGAAAAATTGCAAAATTTTTATTTTCTTCTAAATATCAAGTAATTTTTAAAATTGGAGTTATCTTCCTTTGTCCATGATTATAGTTGAATCAACTACAATCAATGCTTTATACAATGCAATGTTTAATTTTGACTTCCACTGATAAAACACAGATCAAGTTGAATTTGGGTAGTGTCACTTTAACAATTATTGAGTTATGCCCCTTTATAAATCGAAAGATTGCAAAATTTTTAGTTTCCATTCTGTTACTTAAGTTTGCCTCAACCAAACATTATGAAACCTATACACAATATGCATTACCACAAAACTAAGATCAAGTACAAATTTTTTGTTTCCGTTTTCTAACTTTAGTTTGCCTCAACCAAATGTTATGAAACTTATATACAATGCTTATTACTACATAATACAGATTAAGTACGAAATTTGGTGGCAACACTTTTACCATTCTTGAGTTATGTTCCTTTATAAACATAAAAATTGCTAAATTTTTCGTTTCCGTTCTCTAACTTTAGTTTGTCTCAACCAAATGTTATAAAACTTATACACAACCGTTCTAGAGTTAAGCGTGTTTACAAATAGAAAAATTGCTGAATTTTTAGTTTCTGTTCTCTAAAGTTAGCCTCAACCAAATGTTATGAGACTTACACACAATGCTTATTACCACAAAACTCAGATCAAGTTCAAATTTGGGTAGCGTCACTTTTACCGTTCTTCAGTTATGTCCCTTTATAACTATATGATATGCAAGCGGGGGCATCATCTGTGTCCACATGTGGACACTATCCACATTTTTTTTTTTTAAAAGTAATGCATTATCTGTATCATAAATCCGATTTCATTTGTTATTTATGAGATTGAAAACTTCTGGTTTCTCAAAAATGAAACTACCGTAATAATTCCTATGGAATTTGCAGTTGTAAGTCATTAAAATCTTTGCAGTTTTAAACTGTTGCATTGTACATATTGTTCTTAAATGCTTTTACAAAAACAAGTAAGAAAAACAGTTGAAAGAGGTTCATAAAACTTCATTTATGTCATTACTTCCTGTATGTCTTTGACAGTTTAAAATTAAAAGATTACTTGTTTCTAGTTTTCAAAGAAGACCGAAATTGCATAAAAAAATTCCAGGCCCTTGATTTACATACTATAAAATAAAACACATGAGATTGGTTGAGAAATAGTCAGCAAACATCTGGAGAGAAACAGCTCCTTTCATAATCTTTTAATCTTGTTTTAGGCAAAGGAGAAAGCTTTGAAAAAGAAAGAAGAGAAGACGAAACAGTCATAGGAGTTAACAGGATCCTGTATAAATTGATATTATTCTCACAGTTGTTGTGATCTATTTGAAATAGTCAATTTTAGGATAAGGTTTACTCAGAATTGAATTAACTTCAGTTTTATCTTGTCCAGTTAGATTGACAAGTTATAAGTTGATAACTGTGGAAGACTAAATTTTCTTTTTTATGGGGAAGGAGGAAAACATAAAAAAAATCTTAGGAAATATAGATTTCAGGAAATGTATCCTTCCTGGTATAGAAATAGAGCAATGAAATATCCTTCCTGGTAAAAAAATAGAGCAATGAAATATGAAGGTTTACTGTGGTACTTCCTGTCTTTTTAATACTAAAAATACAACAACTTTGAAATAATTGTATGCAATGAAATGCAGGACAATACTTTCCATTAAACATCCCAAAATGACAAGCTGCCATGATAGCATTATTTTGAGAGCATGTCTTTGAAATATAGGTATAAGCCAAGATTTAACTCAATAAAATATTTTGCTACAAGATGTCATATGAAAAGAAGTTAATGTATGTAAAATATCTTTTTGTTTTGGCCTTGGTTTATTTTTGATTTGCCAAAAACGATATGTAAAATGGCAGTTTTAGGTCAAATACATCAATTTGCACTTATTTATGGTGTTACAGTGACATCACAACTAACATTTAGGTTCTAAAGTGTAGAGAATAATTCATAACTAGCATAGTTCTGTAAGGATCAAATAATTTCACTATTTTTGCAAATTTATCGACCATAAAATGGTTCTTGTACTTCCTCATCTCTATACTTCATCTCAGCTAAATTGTCTTTTTTTAAACTTTCACATATATACCTGTACTACTTATTGTTTTATTTGTGTTCTCTTTATTTATTCATTATTCTATCTCAATTTCATGAACTGGTAAGTTGTGTGAGGTCACATTGAAGAAAACTCATTGTATTGTTACACACATGTACCCGGTATATCATTTTTATCACGAGTAAAGTTTGTCAAGCATCAGCTGAAACATGCTTTACTATGATGAATATGAATTATAATGGTGATTGTTACATTGTTACATTTCACAATTACTTGATATATTTCATTCCTTTCACTATTTTAAAGGATTGTTTGCTCTCAAATGTTGTATGCAAAGATAGGACATAGCTAAGTTTTAACAGTTGATGATCAATAAGATACAACTCAAATTTCATATAGCTTTAGCTGCCTTGAGGTTATATTCTTTCAGAATAAAACATAATGACTTAATTGTGAATATGACTGTATTTTTTGTTGTTGTTATTTATCTTAATGTTATGTACCAAATAAATCTACATACTTTGATATGATTTTTTTTTATTTTGACATTGAGAAAAATGTCTTAGAATCAAATCTTCCAAAAATGAGACAGGGTCCCCCAATCCCCATACAAAGTTCTTCTTCGAGGCCATGCTTAAATATAAAACTGAACGATGTGTTTGGGTATTTTATTTGCAAACATTTGATCCCTCAAAATGAATAAAATTGATTTTTTTTCCCCAATTTTTGTCTCATCTGTTGCGATAAGGGAGCAAGACCTATTTATGACTTTCAACCTAAAAAATCTGCAATGTGCAAATGCCTCTATCCTATGAGCACAAAAGTTGCCATGAAAGCTGCTCATAATGGGATCAGTAACTGTACATGTATGGTCACAATAATGAGTACTGTAAATTCAGAAATTATTGTGTGCATTTATAAATGTGATTTTTGTAGAATGGACAAAAATGCCAGCCTCTGGGTGCTGGATTTTCTCGCTGTGTTGAAGACCCATTGGTGGCCTTCGGCTGTTTTCTGCTCTTTGGTCGGGTTGTTGTCTCTTTGTTTCCATTCTCAATTTTAGACTAATTATTGCGATTTCAGGAAAATCAACATATCAGGGATGGGGTAATCGTAATCTGTAATCGTAATCAATTGTAATTGATTACATGTTTCCCAGTAATCGACAGTAATCTGTAATCGAAGACATTTTCGATTACATGTAATCGTAATTTAATCGATTACAGCAAAAATTAGGATGTAATCATCGATTACTTTTGATTACATTTCAATTACTTTTAGTGAAATAGTTTGATGAAATTAAACCTATTTTAAATGAAAATATATATGCATTCATCACTTTATAGTACAGATAAAATAGAAAATATTTAGACTTCAGAGTTTATCAAATGCCTTATTTGTATCTATTGTCTCAAGCTGCATTATGATCAACCAGAACTCCTACCAATTTTACTGTATATCCAGCTTTTTAAACAATTGACTTAACTGTCTTCAATGCTTGTCAATTATTTAAAGACCTTTTATTTTGAAATAAGTAAATAGATAAAAATAAGAAATGAGTCTTATGTTAAGTTCAGTACTACTTTGACATTGAAGTGTAATTTTCAATAAGATTTGGAATTTTAGCTAAACTAGATACACAGTGGATTCGTTATAATATTATGATATAAAAATCAGAAAGTACACAACGTACCAATTGATTTGCATTGAAATTCTTGTTCAGAAATAGATACATGTATCCCATATTGACACTAAAATAAATCTTGTTAAATATCATGATTTTGAATAGAGTATAGAAAAATCCCAACAAATTCCTGTGTTTACTAATCAGATGATCAAGGACTTCTAATCAATAAGATGTTTTGATTTCAATTATGTCTAATTAAGAGGAGATTGACATTATATTTCCCCAGGTTATGAAATGTACTCCATTGGCAGTTTTATAACCTGTAATTAGGGAGATTATCCAAACAAAATAATTAATTCATGCATGAATTAGTTATAAATTTACATCTTTGAAATTAGCTAGATAGATCTTTATTCTCATTAACTAAATGACATAGTTACAGAGATGAAAATATAAACAAAATACAACATATTTTGCATGTGTGAAATATACATAAATAAATGTAATTTAACCAGGAGGACAGACTTTCACTGATATATAGTTTATAAATCTACACAATTTTTCTAGTAAGACAATATTGACTGTAGTGAATACATTTTTAAATTTAAGAATATTAACATTTGTACAACAATAGCGTGGTAAATATTTATATCGTTCTTTTTTGAAAAAAGGACAAGACATTACATAATGGAATTCATCGCCGATGTCAGTAGATTCACAAAGGTGGCATAGTCTCTCGGGTCTTTGAACATTTTGCCACCTCCCTGTCTCCACTGGCAAACGGTGATTGCCACATCTAAATTTACATAGTTTCAGTGCATTATTTAACGATAAAATTGAAATATAATTTTCAAATTTAAGTTCTGTTTTGAATAATTTATAACATAGACCTTTTGATGATTGATTTACATTTGCTAGCCATTCTTGTCTAAACTGATCTTTTAACTTTTGTTCAACGCTTAATACAATCCATTTTTTTGAGATACAATCTTGATTTTGCCATATGTTTGACATTCCACAATTATCAAAAATACTTTTGATACATAACAACCATTTGTTTTCAATTCCATACTTATTAAAATTAATATATATCAACTTATATAACATTGACGAAATCTTGTTATCAAGTGTGTTATCAAGAAGGTTACACCAAAATTTTATCATCCTGAACTAGTTAATTATTCTTCTTTTACATTTTAATTGTAATATATACTATATCAAATATAGTTAAAAATTAATAAATACAAAATACCTAACTTAATTAAGTCATTATGACAGCAAAACTTGAAAAATATAGAGACATGTGGAAAATAAACTAGACTATAAAGAAGTGACTGAAGCCATGTGGTGTCATTGCAAGAACTTTATTACATCTCACTCATGTAGATAACCAGATTTTAAAGAATTTTTGAATATTTCAAATCCTCGGTGAGAGCTTCTATCTAGAAACAAACTGTCAACTTAAACTTGAAAACAATGCTTTCAATGAAGTTTTGATCAAGTTATAAATTTTCCCTATACATAACAAAATGTTTGTGTTTAACTTACTTTATTATTTTTTTGTAATTTTATAGCATGTAATTTACAGTAATCGAAAAGTAATCCAATTACTTTTGATAAAGTAATCGATTGCAATCGATTACATACAAAAATCAGAGTAATCAATTATTAATCGAATACACAAAAATCCCTCAAGTAATCGATTATTAATCGATTACATTTGTCAGTAATCATGCCCATCCCTGCAACATATTGATGTATGTATCAGATAAATAATACATCAATTAATTATAGTTTTGGTATTTAAAGTGCTATGTTGTTTTACTCTCTCTCTCTTGTTTTGTTTGTTTCTTGTTATTATTTGGGGGGAGATGGCTTTTGAATGACCACATTTTTCCACAATGTTCTTTTCTGTGAAAAGTCAAGTATTGTGGCAATTTTATTGTGAAACAGTGGTGTTTAAATTAAGACAGGTCGATCAAAACAAAAATAACTGACAAACTGTTTTATACAGATTCTGTGTAACTTTATATGCTTAGAGTTTTTGCTAAGATGTATGGATAGAATATATCTGGATTATCTATGAAGCCTGCCTTGTATTTTAACGAAACATGTTAGAAAGAGGAACACAGCTGGTTCAATTTGGATTACCCACTTGCTGTTGAAAAAAAAACTGTCTATCAAACATAACAAATTTGGTGTCGATAAAAAAGGACTTCTGAGGATATTTATTCAACAACATGTAACTGTTCAAATTTACCAAATACCTATCATCCCTGTTGTCATATCTTTACCATTAATGTGGATATAATCCAAGACCAACAGGTTGTAAAATTCGTTTTAAAGGGACATAAGCTACGAAGTCTTTGTTTTAAACATTTATAAAAGTGGAATTGTGAAATAATATTTCGCTATTAGCAGTCAGTTTGGTTCAATTTTATCAAAATAACATAAAAAGTCAATATTTCAACTTGCTTGAATCCGTATTCATGTGAACTTCAATTTAACCTTTAGCTGGAGATGGTTTACGCATGGGCTAAGCATTTTCAGTTCTTGATTAGAAAAAGAAAAGAATCTGAATGTCAACATTGAAAAGTGAAACTAGACAGCAACCAGGAAGATCACTTACGTTGACTGCTATTGCCCACACAAAAGCGTTCAAATACAGGTAAAACAATGATTTACATATTTTTATGCCCCACCTAGGGGCATTATGTTTTTCCGTCTGTGCGTCCGTTCGTCCGTCTTTCTGTCCCACTTCAGGTACAAGTTTTTGATGTTGAAGTCCAATCAACTTGAAACTTAGTACACATGTTCCCTATGATATGATCTTTCTAATTTTAATTTCACGGTCCACTGAACATAGAAAATGATAGTGCGAGTGGGGCATCCGTGTACTATGGACACACTTGTTTAATGTATGACATTATGAAGTCAAACAGACCTAGAAAAATGGTTATTATACGATTGCACGTGCTTGTCTGTGTATTTATATTGATGTTTACGTCAGGCAGAGACATATATATATATAGATTCTACCACTGCATCGAGTGTGATACGATATTTATCCACTCGAGACAGTTAAATTTTCAAATTTAAAACGCGAGGCTCGCCGAGCGTTTTAAATATTTAAAATTTAACTGTCGAGAGTGGATAAATATCGTATTACACGAGATTTGGTGGTGGAATCTGTTTCTCTTATGATTTTCAAACAATACGCAGGCAAATTTATTCCTTCTTTTCGAATGATCTGCAAAAAGATGTGTTCTTTCTATGTGACGTCATCAGGCATGGTCGCCTTTTTTCATGCCGTCACAATAGGAAATTCAGAGGAAAGCAAGAAAATTCGACGTCATAATCGGATTTTAACCAATGAAGAACTGAGATCAAACGAACCACACGTTGATTAAATTTTTTTTATACAATGGGTGCAGAAAGGGATAAATTGACGAAGAATTAGAGAAACGTATATATATATGTCTCTGCGTCAGGGGAGATCACGATGGTTAATTAGATGGCATACATACGAAGTGTTGATATATTTTGTTGTAAATTGATTGTAATTTGGATAGACGTTATAGTATGCTATAGATAAAGTATGATATTTTTGGTCGAATTGGTAAACATGAATTTGACAGGGATCAAAATAAAGTCCACCATTTAGTCATCTTTGACCTCTATTTTAGAAACACAATATATAGTAGTCTCAGGTTTTAGATTATGGTACTAAGCGGCGCAAACAAGAAAAGGCTTATAAATACGCTTTGAATAAATTCAAAAATAAAACGAGGTACTTAGTTGACAAACGTATAAAGTACTTTAAAGACTAAAAACAAAAGCTCTCTGTACCTAGAATAAGATTTAAAATAATAAATATATATGCCTTAGTATATGATGA